GGAATAAGATAGTCAAGTCCCGTGGGTCGGTCTATCATGACGTGTTAGTAGATGATCGCCGTCTGGCTCTTCTGTCTGATCTCAAAGTGGATTGCTGGTCGTCTAAAGTGCTCATCATTTTGCGTTGGTTGGGCCATGAGTGGCCGGCGTGTGACTCCGTTTCTCAGAAGGTAGATGTATACTCGTCTCAGTTGATTCGAGTGGGTGAGGTTCTGGAGAGGTTATCTGCGTTCCTTTTAAGTGACTGGGATCAGTTCAGCCAAGGGGGTGATCCGCGTGTGTTCCAAGGTAAAGGGGTTTCGCTTTGCAGGTATCATAACTGGATGGGCTCCCCTTCACCAGCAAGAGAGGGCTCCGATCCCACAGGCTATTTGCGTGTTTATTTGCCGGCCAACCAGTTGCGTATGGTTGCCAAATTCCGTCTTTGTTGTTGGCCTTTGGAGGTCAACAAAGGGCACCATAGGCCGAGAGAGTGCCGTACGTGTCAGGTCTGTACGTCGGGTAAGGTTGAGGATGAATACCATGTGCTCATGGAGTGTGAGGCGTATACTGAGTTGCGTAATAGGTTTCTGATTAACGTTGAAGATACTGATATGCGCAAGGTATTTCTTAATACCAATCCGAGGAAAATCGCTACTTTCCTTACTGAGGTTTTTGATGAGCGTCAACAGCGTGCTCTGGAGCCTCACGGCTCGTGAGGGCACCCGCCGCGTCGGCGGCGGAAATACTGTAACCACAATACAATACATATGCACTTGTGAATGCACAGCTTTTTGCTGGGAGTACGTGCCCTGGGGTAGGTTGGATTTTTATCAACCGCTGGCATGTACGGATAGTGATGTGGTTGGTTCCCTGCCCCGCATTGGTTCCCTGACCCCATATAATGAGTGCATCCTAACTAGGCGCGCCAATATGCTACGTTACATACAAATGCCCCTTTCACACAAAGAAACCAACGGCGGCATCGCCAGGTTAGTGGCACACTGATAGAAACAGCAATTGAAACACCACTGACGCCCCCTGCCCCATTAGTGACATGGGCACGTAGCAATTTTATTGGGGACCGGCCCTGACGTGTACCGCCATAAGGGAGCTGGGCCCGCCTGCCCGGCTGCGTCTATGACTGCCCTTCTATGTTGGCAAAAAGTAGTACGTCAGGCAGCATATACATAAGTGTATCTTCCGGCAGCCCAATCGTTACGCAAGGAGCGATTCGTCAAGCCGCATCGGTTGTCGTCGTCTAGGTTTACTATAATCGGTACAGTAGGCTATCACGTCAGCAATGCACCCAAGAGGTGCCATACTTACGATGCTTTCACTTGTATGTTCGTCATAATTTTCGATAAAGGCGTTGTCTTGGGTTTAAGTTGTACCTGCGGTGTGGCCCCTATGAGGTCCGAAAGCTGCAATCCATATCTAGTATTCATCATGCGGTCTATATATTTTAAAACATGATACGAGGCTTAACAACATGTTGACATGACGAGCAAAGTGAAGTTGGGTCTTAGTTTTACATGTTGTGCATGGTTTCGAAGCCGTTTGCCTCGAAACCAGAGCGATACGGCGGCGGCTTCAGACCAAAATTTCCATTCAGCTCGTTACCAATTCGGGCAATAATGTCATAGGCAGTTTCCAGTCACCTAGCTGTCAATTTAGCTGAGGCAAGGCTGTCCCGGTATTCTATAAGTTTGGAATGCGACGACAACTGAATCACCTTTTCATTACCCAGTATTGCATCTTAAACATTGTCTTCCTGAACTCCTACGATACCCTGTGAACACTGCATTTTCAGTTTCGTAAACGCCGCCAAATTTAGGAAAGCATAAGAAACATATCCATTAAACAGAGATGGGAAAGGCAAAGCCTGCGAAGCATACGGCTAAGGAGATTGCAACAAAGGTATGATAGCCGCCGCACGGTTGACGACGTATGTAATAATGGTGTCTCTTTATGCACCCCTTGCTGCATGTGCTCCTCCCCAGGTGGCTGCAGCGACAACTAACATGGGTGGAGGCAAGCTTGGGCAAGAGGACCGCCTGGGCGGGAAGGCGGGGCACGCCAAGTTCCAATGTCACATTTGCAAGCAAACAGCGCCGGACTTGAAGAGCATGCAGGTACGAGTTGAAATATGAAGGAAGGGGGGGTATGGAACAGTGGGCAACAAAGCAACCACGATAAGTTTTTGCCGTTCGTTCAGATGGGATTATCCAATGTGGTGAGACCCATGTCACTGGCCGGTTCGCTCAGTACGACGTTTTACATGAATGCGTTCGCATCTGTGCCATAGCTACCAGGTGTAGCCTCCCGGGTTGCTGCATGTCGTTTGTATTCCTGCGATGCGTTGCGCTGTTGTCTCAAGTGCTTGTGCCAGCATATCCCTACTTGTGGAGACCGTTTTTGCTCTGCAAATATGATTGGATTCTATTGTGACGTCGGTGATGTCACAGAGTGCTTAGCATCTTCACATTTTGCCCCGAAGGTCCCTCGTCCAGTTGCTGCCACTACCTTGAGCTTATTGAAAACCATTCTGGTCCGTGCAGTCCCTTTGTTATCCTTCCTTCAACTCGCTTCTCCCCGTATTTTACCACATGTGGTAAAATACGATCGATGCTATAAGTGGCTTCCTGCGTAGCTCCGTCCTTGGGCTTGGCCTCTTCCTCCATGCTTGCCCTCCTTCCTCTCGGCCTTCCGCTAGATGCACCACGAGGCCCGTCACCCTAAGGAGGCCTGGGAGCCGGAGAAATGCACGGACTTGCACGCCGTACACGGTGGTACGACCAAGGGGGTAGCTGTGCGCGGCAGCAACAAGAAGTAAAGTGCCGAGCATCTGATCGAGAGTGCAATATTCAGCGCCAACGCAGCTGGATGGAAGCAGCAAGTAGATTACAGATTGCGTTGGTGCGGAATAGCTTGGGCATGTCTTTTGCGCACGAGGTTGCTAGACTAGGATGTAAAACAGCTAGGCGGTGATGCAGCTATGAATGTTGGCGCTAGAATGTTGACTGTGTGACGGCGATGTGGCGTGTGTAATAAGTGTGGGTTATGGACTCCTGCTCATGCACGTAATCTGCGTGTGTGTGGCGTGGGCAAGGCAGACCACGCGTCGGCACCAAATCGCCAATCTGTCTGTGTCTCGACTGATTGTACGCCCTTGCGTGGCTGACGGGGGACGATGGACAAAATGAAGGAATGAATGAGTGGCTGTTTCATTAACAGGGGGTGAATAGTGACTGATGGCGAACCCCTTTGTCCACAGGGGATTTTACACGTCGTACAGAGGTGCACGCACTGGCAGGTATGCAGTAGTACTAGTAGGTAGTAGTACTTACTGTCTTGTTGTTGTGTCAATAACAGCCACGTGTCGTGTCTGTGGTATCGGAAGCCGCACATTCTTGGGGTTTATGCAGATTGACGGACATACAGATGGACAGATACACACGATGCGTGGGTATCCCAGGCCACCAGCTCTGTTATCCAGGCGGATATCGATGGAGCCACGCTACTGTGCATCCAGCGGCCAGCCGGCAATTGTCCTTGCTGCAGCTGTTACTGCGTCTCTCCCTGAAGCCTTAACTATGATGAGCAGTCAGCGAGGGTTGGGCGTAGAGAGTTACCCTTGCATGGCCTTTGTGTGTTATCCAGGGGGTGCTCCGTGATGGAGATTTTTGCGTTCCTTGTGGCTCCTTTCCTCTATGTGGTGTTGATGGAGGATTTGCAGCATGCAAAGCGAACAGGACGGGATGGTAGTAAAGGATGTGGGCGTTCTCGAGGGAATGCGGCTGGACAGAGGAGGATGGAAAAGAATGGTCTGCCGGCTTGCGGCATTATTACAATGCGTATTGCTTGACGGATGGGCCTTGTTGAAATGGTGAACATGGCACGTTATGTGAGATGTAGGGTAAGGGTTTCGGAGTTCAGGTGTGTGTTTCCACGCCGGCGTCGAATGGCGCTACTATTTTTTCCCTGGGCTTTGCTATGGTGAAGTTTTATCGTGCAGGAAGCTGGACCGAAGTCCTGACGGGAAGGCTGAGGCAGATTGGCGACTTTGGTCATTTCGTTGCGCTTGTGCGAGGCAGGCGCGAATTGGGGCCCCGTGGGTTGCGCAACAGGATGGGCACGCGCCAAGTAGTATGTGTCTGATGGTGGTCGTGATGTGGTCTGGTCCTGATCTTGTACCTCGCCGTAGAATGGAAGCACTGGCTAGATTGCGCGGAATTCCTTGCTAGAGAGAGTCATGAGTTCAGACCTTCACACCCGTGGATGTAAGGAAGGCATTGCCATAATCTCCGTCCGCTGGCTTGAAAGCAGGTGCGGCGAGCTAAAGCGTTATAGCCCTCGGCAATGCCATATTCGCGATGAGAAAGATATCCTTGCACGTCTGCTACATAGCCTCATTAAGGATTTCCTCGCCCTGTGTCTCCTCGATATGCTCTGGCATTCTTGGATCCTTACGTATTTTGAGGTTGCCCATGTGCAGCAACTCATAATTCTGTTGCCACACCGGAAACTATAAAAGATATTCATCTTTATATACTGGCCCAAATAACCGCAAGTTCAAATATGAAAAGATGCACATTCTAGTAACCTACTGACCCCTTGCAGCTGAGATGTGTAATTTGGAACAATTATCAAGCTCATCACGTATCAGCGAAAAAACTGTACTGGGTGCGCGGCTGTATCATGACGTGCTCTGAAACCACGGAAAGCTGTTTCCATCCATCAATCGATGCGTGATGGAAAATAGTATACGAAGTACTCCTGTTTATGGGAAAGCATGTTGTGCTTAAAACTCAGCGAACTGATCAAGCTTCCCGCGCATGTTAAGCTTTCAACAGCTACGCAGAACACATGCATTACAATAGTATGCCCTTTATTTGCCAACCTGGTATAGAATAGGCAGCACTAATAAAGAAGGGGCTGATATGGATTCAAACTACCCTGTCGACCAACACGATGATGGGCTGTACCAGCAGGCATCTGGCACAGGGAGCACCAGCGAAAACTTCAAAGTACATCAGTAGCTTCGCGCGCCATCTGTCCACAGCCGAAGTTGAAAGTGACGTCAGTTCTTCCCTACAGGTTGTCGTCCGCATCCGGCCCCCTTTGTCACGGGAGCTGCGAGGAACGGGGCTGCGTCCATACCAGTGCACAACTGCCGTGGAGCCGGGTGAACGAAATGTTATCCTTTCCGAGAACTTGCCGGTGCGGTTACAGTTATCTGTACCTGAAGTCCCGTAGTGGGAACTTAGACAGCACGTCAAGGGAACCTACTAGGCGGCACTGCAGCCCTGACTTCAACATCTTGAAATATTACAAATATACTCAGGGGTAAACATATTTAGCAATGAAGAGTTGCGGGCGCCCCCCAAAGCCCTCCACCATACTCCGCCTTGCCTACGTCCTCAGCCTTAGCTGCGACGAGGCTTAACCCAGTAGGCAATCCACAGAACGCGAACCAACAACCTGGCTGTCCTCCCTCCTTTCCCCTCCCTCCGCCGCCCTCCCTCCATTGCCCTCCATCCCCACCAACCAGGCTGTCGTTAACCAGCAGGGCAACATGGTCACTGACGGCGGGGCGCTGTACAACACCTATAGGTACGACCGCGTGCTGTACGATAATGGAACACTGTCCTGCCCTAGCGCTTCCTAACCACGGCTTCACCGTCCTCGTCCTGCAACTCTTGACCCCCCCAACCTGCGGCCTGATGGAGGAGGGTCTGTCAGTAGGGTTTATGTTGCAGCCCATCGGGGCGGCTAAAGGCCTGAGACTGGGATTCGCTGTCGACATCGCGCACACTTTTCTGAGAGGAGGGGCTGAGGGGAAAAAGCTGGCTGGTACCGGCTGTGTGTAGGGTTGTTCCTGACATTAGAATTTTTTCCGTTCTAATCTAATTTCTAATTAGATTCTAATTAGAAGTTAGGATCTAATATTAGAAGACGCTCGACAACTTTTCAGGGAGGGGTCCGTTGAACCTGAAATTTTGTATAGGCCATCACAGATGTAAACGCACGCATTTCCAATTAAATTTACTCCGGTCGGGTGCCTGGGGAGGGTACCTACCAGCCAAACCCACGCCAGACTTGCTACGGAAACAACCAAGAACGCCGCCAAACCTGTCCTTTTAAGTCCCTACTTGCACAGAATCACCACATAACTGCCGGGGGAGTGTTTGCTCGCTAAGGGGAATGCAAAAACACAGAGAGGAAGGGCTAATCTGGTGCCTGCTAGCCAAACCCACGCCAGACCGCTGTGGAAACAACCAAGAACGCCGCCAAACGTGTCCATTTACGTCCCTATTTGCACAAAATCACCACATCACCACATCACTGCCACTCCCGCAAGACCCTTCTTCTTTGCGGAGATCAGAGCTTCTGCATACGCTTTTGCATCAAGTTCCTTGTTGCCATACTTGTACATTGGCCCTGATGCTTCCGCCTTCCGATGAGGAAGGGGTGGCTTTGATGGCCCCGCACCTCTATCTGACATTTTCGTGTAAAATGCACGCAGTGAACCGCTGATGCGCCTTAAAGCTACGGCTTTCCGGCCGTTCTAATGTCCGTACGACATTAGGATGTTCTAATACGTTCTAAACGGGGTCTTCTAAAATTCTAATTAGTTTCTAATTATATTTATTCTAATATTAGTTCTAATGTTCTAATGCCGGCACAACCCTAGCTGTGTGATGTAGCCGTGACCGGTATCGGCTGGTGTGAGGTACCGCCATTAATGTAGGCCCCCATGTTTGTCCGTGGTTAGCTGCACAAGTGTGGGCGGTTGCAGGCGTTGCGTTGCATGGTTCCCAAGGAAAGTGGGTCACCATGGAAAAGGTCTCGTGTGATGCGGTCAGGGTGAAGGCAGGCCAGTGAGGCGTTCCTTTCCTTCGCTGCACAGGGAGCACACCTGGCCCAGGCTCTTGGGGAATGCGGTCGGTCGGGGGTATCGCAGTGGGTTTCGGAGCCCATATTCGGGCGGGCGAACGAACCGGGCTTGCGTCTGGGAGCCTGGCGCGGCACCTCGTTTAGCAGCGCCACCTTCCCCCATTTGGGTTTATTGTTCCTGGGCCCCCGCGACCCACCCGCCCCCTTGACCCTCCACCGCCGCTCAACATCAGACCATCATTACCATCGCCAGACGCCGCCCTTCGCCCCCCTGCCCTGCCCTGACGGTCCACTTTCCATGCCGGGCCCCACCCCGCTCCGAAACCAGGTTCACATTTGACTGCGTATACGACCAGCACTGCCCTCAAGAGCTGGTGTACCGACAGAGCGGCCAGCAGGTGGTTCTGTCCATCCTGCAGGCGAGTGGGTGAACCATACGGGGGCAGGAGGGGGAAGGGGGAAAGAGGTGTCAGGGAATAAGGACATTACTGGCCGCGGAGAGAGCTACCGGAAGGGGATGCTTTTGCAAGGAATGCAGATGCTAGCTGTCGAGAAAGAGGGAGTAAGATGCAAATCCTGTGATGCGCTAGCATGGACGTGTAGCCCCCTGATGCAGCTGTTCGTGTTGCTGCTGGTATCTTGGGCCCCTCCGCCTTGCGCTGACTCGCTCCAGTGTTGTTACTGATCGGCCCTTCTTTCCCTCGGATCGGCGGGCGGAGTCCTGACTGCTCGGTCCTGCTTGGAATTCAGCGGCACAGGCAGACGTGCTCTTCATGATGTGTCGTATGGTGCCTGTTGCATGTCTCAATCAGACTTTATGAGCAGCACAGCAAGACTCTGGTTGTACTTGGTTCGATTGGTTGATGATGGATTGTTTAGTCGCTGCGATGTGGTGGTACATGTTTCATCCGCCTGCAGGGCTACAATGCAGCCATCATTGCGTACGGCCAGACGGGTACGGGAAAGACGTACACCATGGAGGGCGCGATGGAGGTGAGAGGAGGGGACGGCCCCGTGCCTGGAGGGACCGGGGTTTGGGAAGGGGTGGGATGGGATGGGGTTGTAAGGGCGGTTCAGAGAAAGGTGGGCGGACCAAGACGGGATGTGCGTGCGTATTTTTGTAGCGGATGTATGTGTATGGCGTTAAAAAGTATGGTAAAGATGCTCGTGAATTTGGATGAATATGGAAGAGCATGAATGTGAATGTTGGCGAGGATAAAGGTGGGGCCGAACACCACTACGCCAGTATCTCCCTTCCAGGTGGGCCTCCGACTTGTCGACATCCCTGCCTGGAGGGATTCATGCGTCTGTGGATGTGCTTTTTCCGGCTCTGTAAGACCTGAACCACGTAACTATGTAACCACGTATGTATGTACGTATGTATGTATGTCCCTCCCCCCCAGGGTCCGGACCGAGGCATCATTCCCCGTACTGTGGAGGACATCTTCACCTACATAGTCAACGACCCGGAGCCCTCCAGGTGGGGCTAGGGGGCGGGGGGGAGGGGGAGGGGTGGAGGGGGACGGGGGGGAGGCCCCTTAGGACGGGGCTAGTGAGGGGCTCCTTACGGGGGGTCACGAATTAGATTGGGTATGGAAGAGGAATTAGGAAAATCACCGACGGGTGGGAATGGGACTGAGGTAGGACGGGACGTAGGCAAACCTGCTGTTTAGCGGCTCTGGCTGCCCGGCGGCATATGGATGAACTGGACTTACATGCGCCCATTGACGTTGCGTATCGACTGCCTCGCAGCAGCGACAGCAGCAGCAACAGCAACAGCAGCAGCCACCCAGTCCATGCCGCCCGGTGCCCCCAGTTACCCCCGCTCGCCCGTGTGTGTGTGTGTGTGTGTGTTTTGTTTCCTCAACTCTACCCTCTCCAACCCCCCTACCATGCAACACGTACACACGCACTCGCATCCTCCTATGATATGATCGAGCAGCAAGTACCTGGTACGATCGTCGTACCTCCAGATCTACAACGAGGTGAGGTCGGGGTCCCGGGCGGATGTGGTGTATGTATGTATGTATGTATGTATCTATGTATCTATGTTGGGGGAGGAGAAAGAGTGTGGTGAGGTGGTGAGTTCCGCCACTCCCACCTCCTGGTGACGTCATATGTACTGGTGACTTGCCGACCTCCTTCCTTCCTGCTTCTCTTCTTCTCTCCCTCCACCACGTCAATCATCGCCCGTCGCCCTGCCCTGAACTCCTTTAACCCGCTCTCCCTCCCTTTAACCCGTTCTCCCCCCTCACCCCACCTCCCTCTTCCCCGCGCCCCCTCCCCCACCCGTCTCCCTCCTCCCGCCAGGTGGTGTCTGACCTGCTGAAGCCCGAGCGCTCCTCCCTATCCATTCGTGAGGACCGGCGGCGGGGGGTGTTTGTGGAGGGACTGAGCGAGTGGGTGGTGAGGTCGCCCGCGGAGGTGTACCAGCTCATGCAGCGGGGGCAGGCACTGGTGCGTGACGGGTGCTGGGGGGGTAGGGGAGGGGAGGGGGGGAAAGGCGGGTTGGATAGGTGAGTCGGTTAGCGGTTAGCGAAGTGGTCGTTGCGCTGTGTTGCCCTGCTGTGCCCCGGTGCGGCTCCAGGAGGGAGGGAGGGAGGGAGGGAGGGAGGTGATGAGCGAATTCTGGAGAGGGATGGCTGGAGAGGAGAGCTGTCGTAGCGGAGGTTTGGAGCAGTAGGAGGAGTAGGAATGGACGAAGTGTGCACTCCCGGGAGAAGCGCGTTGCCGCTGATTTGGCCGCCTTCGCCTGCCTGCCTCGCCCCACCCGCCTGCTACCACTGCCAGACCAGCTGCTAACCACCCTGGTGTGTTGCCCGTTGTTGACATTGGCATTTGACCCTATCCTTGACCTGCAAATCATGTGTTTCCCCCCTTTCCCAACTCCTTCTCGACCCGCACGCTCCACCTCTGCAACCCCCGCATTCCCCCGCCACCCCCCCAGCGCGCCACCGGTGCCACCAAGCTCAACGAGGTATCCTCTCGTTCTCATGCCGTGTGTGTCATCATTGTGGAGAAGTGCACCACGCCAGGTGCTGCGGAGGAGGGGGCGGCAGGTGGGAGGGGGAGCGGAGGGGTGTGGGGGAGGGGAGAAGAAATGAATGTCATGTTTTCCCCACTTCGGCCCTTCTCTCCCTCCCCCCGCGCTTCTTTTCCGTGTATGTAGGTGCGCCCTGGTCTCGGAGCAGCTCCTCCACCAATGGCGGGGATGCTGCCGTACCCGCAATACAGTCCATCAAGGTAGGTGTCGGGGAGTGAAACGAGGGGCGCAGGGTGGAGGTGCAGGAGGGGTCCATTGCGGGTGAGGAGGAAGAGAGACAAGGAGGGGTTTCACGCGGTGGTGTAGGATCGATCGCCTAACCTGGACTGCTACCTGTGCTCTGGAGCGCCACGTAGTCTTATCATGACGTACTGATGTGTTTTGCACCTACCCTGATCCCTTTACATCACCCCCTTCTCCCCATGACGTTCCCCCCCTCTCCACCTTCTCCACCCTCTCCACCCTTCTCCCCCTCCCCCCTTCTCCCCTCTCCCCTCTCTCCCCCACTCTCCACCTCCCCCCTTCTCCCCCCTCTCCACCCTCTCCCCCCCTCTCCACCCTCTCCACCTCCCCCCCCTCTCCCCCCTCTCTCCCTCCACCCTCTCCACCTCCCCCCCCTCTCCACCCAGGTGGGCAAGCTGAACCTGGTTGACCTGGCGGGAAGTGAGCGGGTGCATGTCACTGGGGCGGTGGGGAGGAGGCTGGAGGAAAGCAAGAAGATCAACGCGTCGCTGTCAGCACTGGGTGAGTGGCGCAGGGAGAAGGGCGGGGAGGGGGGGATGGCGGCAGATTTCGCGGTGGTAGCGAACGTACAGGAAAGAGAATTAAGATGGGACTTTTGGGGCGGAGGGGGAAACGGGTTGTGCGGTGTAGCGTATCCTGGGGACACATCCTCGCTGATGGTGGCCCGGGTGCCATCATCATCACCAGCTCCCGACTCCTGTTTTTAATAAGGCTAGCTACAGGATATAACATGGGCAAGAGCGAGGCGGCATGAATGCGAGTGGAAGTGGGTATTTCCAGGCGACCAATCCCATTCTTAGTAGGAATATCTTACCCCTATTCCCCGCCCCTTACCTCCCTTACCTCCCCTGTCAGGCAATGTCATAGCCGCTCTGACAGATCGTCGTGAGCGCTCACACATCCCGTACCGGGACTCCAAGCTCACAAGGCTGCTGGAGGACTCCTTGGGGGGTAACTGCCGTACAACCATGATTGCCACCATCGCCCCCTCCCTGGAGGCGTTCCAGGAGTCGCTGTCCACACTCAAGTTCGCAAACAGGTGTGTGTGGGTGTGTGTGGGTGTGTGTGGGTGTGTGGTAAGGGGAGGGGGGAAGAGAGGGCGACATGGAGGGGGTGTAAAGCCGAGAGGTGGGGGAGAGGACTGTTGTCCTGCTGCCCGGCGGTCGCAACTTTGTGGCAGCTCACGTGGAAGATTATCCCTGCTCCTCCTTACGCTCAGCCACGTTACGAGCGACCTTATGCTTTACGCGGGCCGGGGGTAGCAAGGGAGGAGATGAGAGGAGGCGGCAGGCAGAAGGGGCAGAAGAGGCCGGATGCGAGTGGTTCGTAGGGTGGGTTCGGCTGTGTGGCTTGGGGTCGGAGGGGTGAAGGACACCACGAAAACTGCCTGGAGTACTGCAAGTACGGAGCTCGGAGTACGGGTAGGGGGACATGATTCGGGTACGAATTGAGAGAGATGCGGGTGCTTAGGGTGTACGGTGTTTGGATCGCGGGTTCGAGGCACGGTCTGACGTTCACCGGGTTTGCCTCCCTCGGCTAGGTAAGGTGCCCGCCTGCAGCTCGCCCATCTGGCCAACCTACCCGTCTGCCTGTCTGTCTGTCTGTCTGTCCTGTCAGGGCCAAGAACATCCAGAACGAGGCCCATGTGAATGAGGATGTGGATCAGCGCACACTGCTGCGGAAGTACGAGAGAGAGCTCCGGAGGCTGAGGGACGAGCTGGCCAGGAGGTCCAGGAACGTGGTGGACAAGCGCGCACTGCTGGTGGTGGGTGGGCTGGGCTGGGGGGGGCCGGGGCGGGGCGGGACGGGGGCTGGTCTGGGGCATGAGGGCCATAGATAGATAGGGTTGGACACCTGGCTACCTGCCTGCCCCTGACAGGGTATGCGGCCTCCATCCCACCTTGAGCCCCGCCCGGTGGAATATCCCCCCCCTTCCTCACACACACGCCGGTTCTGAAGCCCACACCCCAATCCACCGTACACTCCCCGTTGAAGCCTTGACCCCTCTGATTTCCTCTCACCCTCCATCAGGCTGAGGAGCAAGCCAAGCGCGCTGAGGCGGACAAACTGGCGGCCCTGACCGCCCTACAGGTACACGGGTAGGGGTGCAGCAGCTGCTACCCTTCTGTTACCTCCTCCTGCTGGTATTCCGTTACCGCGGGGCAGTTACTGAAGCCAACTACTTCAACGCTGCAGATATGAAGATATGAGCATCCCCCCCCCACCAGAGCAGCACCCCCGGGGTATCCCCGCACCACCATACCTCGCAACCCACCGCGCCGCTCCCCTTCCCCCGGGACCCCCTCTCGCCCCCTGCCCCCCCAGGAGCGCAGCAGGGAGTTCCTGCGGGAGAAGGAGGAGAAGCGAGCACTGGAGCTCAAGATTCAGGTAAAGGGGGTTGGGTGAATAAGGCGCAGAATGGACGAAGGTGGATCATGATCCTGCGTGGAAGTCACCTCCCTCCCGCCGCCCCCTCTCCTCCCCTCCCTTCCCTTCCCGCCGCCTCTCCGCCGCCCTCTTTCGTTATTTGGACGTCTTGGGCTGCCGCTCTTTGCGCCTTGCATCATATTCCCCTCTCTCACCCCTCGTTTTTCCTCCATGCATGGATCGGTACGTACGTACGTACATACATACAGGCGATGCAGAGTCAGCTTCTGAGCGGGGGCTCCTCCGGTGCGGCCCTCCAGGAGGTGCCCGCAGTGAGGGCCATGCTGCAAAGAGAAGCCAACAAGGTCAAGGGTGGGTGGGTGCGGGGTGCGGGATGGATGGGAGGGTGTGGGGGGGTGGGGGGAATGGGACAAGTGCGAGATGATAAGGTGGGGGAGGGCGCGTGTAACATGGTGCCGGGTTTTCCCCTCTGTTTACCCCTCTTTCCCACCTCTTGACGGGTAGCTGATGATGTTTTGGCCGTCGGCTGTTGTCCCTTTGACTTCTGCGTGAAGTGCGTGGGCCCCTCTTCGTCCTCCCCCCCGGACCCCGTTCCCCCTCCTCCCCCTCGTCCCCCTCCTCCCGCTCCCCGCAGAGCACTACGAGGCCCGTATTCGCGCCCTGGAGGCCGAGCGCCAGGACGCGGAGGGCAGTGCCTCCGCGGAGGTGGACCGCTACAAGCAGCTGCTGCTGAAACAGCGGGACATCATGATCGCCCTCACCGCGAGACTCAATGAACGAGATGAGAGAATCAACAGCCTGCAGGTGAGGTGTGTCAAGTATGTATGTATGTATGTATGTATTTGTGGTAGGGGCAAGAGTGGGGCCTGGCGGTATGTTTGCGTGGGTGGGGTTGGGGTTGGGTGATAGGAGCTTTCCGGGAAGTGTGTCGACGTTTTGGCGGGTTGTGCTGGTGCGGTTATTGGGCATGAAAGAGTGTGTGTGTGTGTGTGTGTGTTCAGGGACCAATTGGGGAGTGTTGAGGCGGGCGGTGACAGGGGCAACTGTGAGGCGGCCCCCCACCCCCTTCTTACGCCACGGGAGACGGGGACCCGATGGAAGAGGCGCAGCGTGTGAAACACACACGCTCCCAACCCGAGCTTTCCCCTAGTACGGCACCCGGCCCGGCAAAGGGCTTCAACGCAGAAACCTTGTGAACCTGTGTGGACCTTCCTCCTGCCGTACAGGAGGAGCTGGACGCGTACGACAGGTACCAGCGGCAGCTCGAGGACCAGCTAGATGCCAAAACTACGGAGCTCATCTCCTTGAGAAAGGTAAAAGAGCGCGCACGTGCCAGGAAGCGGGGTGGGGACGCGAGGCGGGTGTGTTTAACTGCCTGTATGTACGTATGTATGTTTGTTAGTTAACCTGTGTATGTTAGCTGTGTGGTCCAAAGTGTCGCGTGTAGAAGGGGCCTCGAGTGCGACCTCGTGTCGCCTCGCTGATCACCCGCCGTCCGGACCTCCGGATGCACCACTGCGGGATCCGCTGTGGGGCTGGCCACGCAACAAAAAGTGGCACGCTATCCGTCCTGTTACCTCACCACCACCACCACAACCACAACCACCACCACCACCACCACAACCACCACCACAACCACCACCACAACCACCACCACAACCACCACCCCTTTTTGCTGCTGCTCGTCTCCCTCACACTGCATCTCCCCCGCCAGGTTGTCCACATCCCCTCATCCCACCCCATCCCCCTCCTCGCCCCCATCTATTTCACCTCACCCACCCCACATGTTTGTGTTTTCCCTGGCCCTCCCTCCCCCCTTGAACCCTCCTCCTCCCCCGCCTACCACCCCCTACCACCCCCTCAGGCCGCAGTGGAGCATGCCGCGGCCTCCCCCGCGGGGCTCCGGGGTGTGGATCCCTCCGCCCTCCAAAACGCACTGGGCGACTGGGCGGGACAGGGAGGGGCGCCAGGCAGCCAACACCAACATCAGCACCACCACCAGCAGCAGCAGACGGGGCCCCCGCTGGATGTTGCCTCCTCGGCCTCAGGGTCTGCGGCCTCCGCCACGCCCCCGGCAGGGAATGCCGGGGGCCATCTCACGAGGCAAGAGGGGAAAGGGGTTGCAGGGGTCGATCGGCTCCAATGTGGCGCTTGCGGCGGCGGCGGCGACGACGGCGGTGTGGGGCGGCAAGCGCCTGTGGACGGGGGAAATAGGGAAACATAGCCTACGTCGAAACCCAAGGCGAATGTGTTATGTATGTGTACATCTGTTTTCTATTAACACGCACATAACATAAGTACATGTACATGTACACGTATCTGTTGGTGTGGACCCTACACTGCCGTACCCCGGGTCTGACTCCTCTTGCCTCCGTCTAAGTTAAAGCCTTGTGTCCTTAAGTCCTCTTAATAAGGCCGTACATAAGTTCTGTGCTGTAAATTCACTGGATCTGCGATGAATGAATGAATCAGTGAATGGATGGATGAACGTCCCGTCCGTCCCGACGTGCACATCGCCCGGGTTCGTGTACCGCAGAGCCCTATCAGGGGAGCTGGCGGCCGGCGGCGGGGCCGGGCAGGCGCCGTACTCTACGCCGTTTCGGGGCGCGTTGCCGCCGGGGTCTCAATCAGCCGCTAACGGCACGCTGGCGGGGCACCCGGGTCGATCTGGGTCCATGCCGGGTGGAGGTTTGATCCACCACTCCTTGCCCCCGCTGGTGTACTCGGCGGATGGCACGGCGGTGGAGCTGCAGGTGAGAGAGAGAGAGAGAGAGAGAGAGAGAGAGAGAGAGGGGGGGACCTTTTGATACGTTGCGTGTGGTGATGTATCGTGAAGTGGGGCTTTCACTTTCACGCAGAACTACTACCTTCTTTCCCGTGCCCTCCCCCCCTTGCGCCCTCCCTCTCTCCCTCCGCTCCCCTACCCGCACCCCGCGCCTTCCCTCCCCTTCCACCTTCCACCTCACACACCTCCCGCCGCCCCCCCCCTCCCAGGGTCCTGACTCCCAGGACGTCACCCCCCGGGGCTCCGTGTGGTCGTCCTCCATGGGCGGGGGGGTGTTCTCCTCCGCCACCGCCTCAAGCTGGAGACCCCACACCTCAGGACCCCCCACCACCACCTCCACCACCACCACCGCCTCAGCCGCCTCCTCACTGCCCTTCCCGCCCACGTCCCACCACCAAACACCTCACTCAGCAGTCAGCCAATCCGTCACACTGCCGACTGGGACGGCTGGCAGCAGCGGCGGCGGCGCGGTGTACGGCCCAACGGTATGGTTTGTTTGGTGGTTTGGTTGGTGGTTCGGTTGGGTGTGGTGGCTAAGGTGGAATGATTGTCAGGACGGGCGAACACTGGCGATTAAAGGCGAGCGGGGTGAAGGGGGAATGTGGGGGTGTGGTAAAATGAGGTGGGGCCGGGGGGTTTGCATACCGTAGCAGGGGTGCAATGGGAGGTGGTTTGGTTTGGGAGGGGCCCCGTGGGAGGGGGCTCTGAAGCTAGGGGCGGAGGGAGGGGGAGGGGACGCATTGGGTTTAGTAGTCTGCAGTCCCGAGTCTTGAGACGTTTCCTTACCCCTCTCCCGCCGCCCATTCCCCCGCCGGCCCTCCTCCTGCTCCCCCTCGGCCCCCCTCGGCCTTCAGGACCCAGCCCCGGTGGGGACGCCGGGTCCCTCCGCTGCCAACGGTGTCACCACCACTGCGAATGAAGCGCCCAGCGCCTCCCCGGGTGAGTTCGGTGGACGGTATTGCGTTGAGGAACGCTAGGGAGGGAGAGGGGGTAGAGGGGGGTAGTTGTGGGTGGTGGGTTTGNGATAGGAAGGGTGCACTTAGATGTCATTGTGTCGGGGGGGGTCATGTTTGGCGACAGCTGCTGGTGATGNTAGTGGGAGGGGGTTTAGAAGGGAGGGGGGAGGGGGGGTGCGGGGGAGGCTTGAGCCATGGCTGGGTGAATGAGAGCAGTGTGTGGGTCTGTGACCTTTGTTTGTCTGAAGGTGATGTGGGCCTCCGCTCGGGTGGTTGAGGTGGTCCTGGTTGAGCAGGAGTGCTGGCCCCGTCCCTGCTGTCTATTAACATCACCATCGCCATCGCCATCGCCATCACCACTAGCTAAATTTCGTGCGCTCTGTTTCCTGTGTCCAGTGTGTTGTCCTGGCCTGTGTGTGCCCTCCGGCCCTGACCGCCTTCCTCCGGCCCCTGTTCACCCTCCCCCCTCGCCCCGCCCTCCCTCCTGCTGGCAGGTGAGATCGCTGAGTTGCGGGCGGCTGCCCTGACCGCCGCCAAGGAGCGCAGTGCCCTGCAGCAGATCCTGGACTCCAAGGTGCGCGTCATGCTGGTGGAGATTATCAACGAGGTGCGCTGCGTGTGGGTCGGTGGGTCGGTGGGTGGGTGGGTGAGTGAGTGGGTGAGTGGGCGGTATATGTGTTTTGGTGGGTGGGGTTACGGGGGTTAGGAGGGGTATGAGGAGGCAAGGGGAAAAAGGGGAAGGGTATGCGAGACTATGAGTATGGTTGTGGGTATGGGTGGCAGGGTGGTGGTGGTTAGGCTCCACCTAGCCTTTCCTCTTCACGACGCGTTGTGTTGTACACCAACATGCCGCCTTAGCGCGTGGTGCCTAAGTGGTCCAATCCATCTGGTGACGGGACCTGGACCGGACAACGCAGGTATCGAGCTCCTCCTACGGGCGGGGGACGGACGGGGAGTCCGGGGCTCCAGGAGGGGGCCCTGGGCCCCGGCCGCAGGTGCTGTTGGAGCGCTTATCAGCACTAGAGGCACTCGTACACCGGGTTTCGGAGGCCATCGGGAGCAGCAGCGGCAGTAGCGGCGGCGGCAGCGCCAGCGTCAACACCAGCGGTGGTGGTGGCGGGGGGGGGCCCCCTTCGAGAGGTGGCAGTGGTTGACATTTGGCGTTATGATAACTGTAGGACACGGCGTCTCGGGGCTGGGAGCACGGCAGTCTGGGTCCGGGCTGTGAGGAGAAGGTACACGGAACCTGGCGGCAGTGGGGCCCGGTGGGGAAGGTAATAGAAAGGATTTACCGGGGCCTGCCGGTGTGTGTGTGTGTGTGTGTGGTGGTGGGGAGCCTCGGACGACGCGTCGATTCGATTGCAGTGAGTGCAGGAGGTGAAGGAAGCGCGTGTATGCATGGCAAATCGCTGCGGGGGAGGGGGGAGGTTCCTGCCCGGGGTATGCTGGCGGCATGTGGATGGGCAACAGAGGGTTCGCCGTTTTCCCTTCTCAATGCTCCAGCGCAGCCGATTTACCGCGAAGATGCTGATTGCCGTACATGCTGTAGGCGCAAAAGGGGACCGGAGGTGAGGCGGCTGTTCGTGAACCCAACTTGTCGTGCACTCGTACTGCTGTGACGCTCGTACAACAGCTATCACTGCACCGTGATTGGAATGTCTCAGCGGTTGCTGCACAGCTCTGCGCATTCCGTACAATTATGACTGGTGTGAAGGAAGGACGCAAAAAGGATGTTGTGGTGATGTTCGAAACGCGTAGTACGTCAGCTAAAGATTGGAGCTCGTTCTGCTCATGCATTGCCGACCCGCGGGTCGCATAACTCCGGAACTGAAGAGCCCAAAACTCAAAGCAATGGGCCACCTCAAAGTGAACTCCGTAATAAGAGATTACGCCTGACTTATTAACGCTCCGTAGGGGCAGATCAAACGTATGCGTGTGGCACTTGAAAGGCCACGTGAAAGGCGGGTGAGGACACAGCACAGCCTGTAAGTTGTGAGTGGTTTGTCTCTCCCTTTTTACCTTTCCAAGTCCTCCTCTTCCTGCGAGGCTTATATAATGCTGCTCCGCACGTACATCTTTGCAAATTTCCTTGCTGCGCATTTTCGTTATTATCCTGAGCGTCAGCACTTTGGGTGGCCTGTACCGCTGTTCATTACTGCTTCGCCGAGCGAGCTTCCAGTTCAGATAATTCTTGCTTTTTAGGTTCGTTATGGCTCTTTAATGAATTGGGTACCGCGCTTTCCGCTTCTTGCATCCCATACACGCCCTGCGCACACGCACAAGGGCATGTCTGCCTTTGCGCCATATAGATACACACACACACACTCTCTCTCTTTTGGACATGCATGACAGCCAGCTATGCAGTAAACTGGTGTCTGTAGAAGGGTTGGTGCAGCACTGCACCAGCCGGGGGCTCGGAAGACATGTTTCTGATTAGCTAGCTAGGCTGCTCACACATCGCAAAAAGCTGCTGAGCCGCGGCGGACCGTCCGAGACACCCGCAACAGAGGAAGTGCAGGCTGACAAGACACATGGACACATGGACACGAAAAAACGCTGTGTGACTGTCTTCTTCAGGTAGAGCGCTTGCAGTCGATGCCCTGCCTTGCCCGACTAGTTAGCAAACAATAAGAAGGGCGCTCTGTCCTTGCAGCTATTGGAGTGGCTCCGGCGAGACACACATAAGGTGAGTTGGATTACCCGCCAGCTGGCCTACCTACAGCTGTGTCTGTCTGTGTCTGTCTGTGTCTGTCTGTGTCTGTCTGTGTCTGAGACACCCGCAACAGAGGAAGTGCAGGCTGACAAGACACATGGACACATGGACACGAAAAAACGCTGTGTGACTGTCTTCTTCAGGTAGAGCGCTTGCAGTCGATGCCCTGCCTTGCCCGACTAGTTAGCAAACAATAAGAAGGGCGCTCTGTCCTTGCAGCTATTGGAGTGGCTCCGGCGAGACACACATAAGGTGAGTTGGATTACCCGCCAGCTGGCCTACCTACAGCTGTGTCTGTCTGTGTCTGTCTGTGTCTGTCTGTGTCTGTCTGTGTCTGTCTGTGTCTGTCTGTGTCTGTCTGTGTCTGTCTGTGTCTGTCTGTGTCTGTCTGTGTCTGTCTGTGTCTGTCTGTGTCTGTCTGTGTCTGTCTGTGTCTGTCTGTGTCTGTCTGTGTCTGTCTGTGTCTGTCTGTGTCTGTCTGTGTCTGTCTGTGTCTGTCTGTGTCTGTCTGTGTCTGTCTGTGTCTGTCTGTGTCTGTCTGTGTCTGTCTGTGTCTGTCTGTGTCTGTCTGTGTCTGTCTGTGTCTGTCTGTGTCTGTCTGTGTCTGTCTGTGTCTGTCTGTGTCTGTCTGTGTCTGTCTGTGTCTGTCTGTGTCTGTCTGTGTCTGTCTGTGTCTGTCTGTGTCTGTCTGTGTCTGTCTGTGTCTGTCTGTGTCTGTCTGTGTCTGTCTGTGTCTGTCTGTGTCTGTCTGTGTGTGTCTGTGTCTGTCTGTGTCTGTCTGTGTCTGTC